TCACTGCGTCGAGGGCCGGTTGCATGAGTGTCTCCGTCGGTGCACAAAGTGAAATCATCCGCGAACTGGTCCACCTCTGTGTCCAGGGCAGCCTCGAGGACAGTCTTGGGCAGGAGCGCTGTGGCGAGACAAAAGAGGAGGGGCGCAAGGCGACTCCCTTGTTGTGCATCCTGTTTAAACACCATGTACTTACTGACCTTGTTGTTCCATTTCACCGCAGCTCTTCTATCACTTAAGAAGGCTTTGAGCCAGAGGAGGCCTTTTTTCTAAATGCGGTCGAAAGCAGCTTTGAAATCGATCGCAACCATGAGTGTGCGTTTCTTCTGTTGTAAGTTGCCATGGCGGTCTGCGCAATGTTGGCTATGGCGTCGAGCGTCGTTCATTTAGTCTGGAAGCCTGACTGCTCGTCTGGAATTACATGCTGATCTTCTGTCCATTTCTTGAGTCTTCTGGTCACGAGAGCTTCGGCAGACTTGGAGATGCTACTCAACAGGGAGACTGGCCTGTAACTCTTTACCTCGGAGGCAGGTTTCCCTTTTTTAGAGTGGGAATAATCACCGCGCTTCTCCCATGCGAGGGGACCTTGTCTTGAATCCAGCTTCTGTTTATACGGTGCAGAGTCTTGACTTCCCAATCTCGGGGAGGTTTTTCAGCAACAAAGGTGCGCTGTTCTTAGTCTTTGGCAAGACTTTTTCCAGTTCTTCCAATTAGAACGTCTCGTCCAGTTCTTCGCAACTCTTCCCCTTTTTGAGGGTTGCGTGGACTTCGGAGTATGCCTCCGTTTCCTCTTCCCTAGGGATGTTGACTCTACTGACCTCGGCGTACGTGGCTACCGCGTGGCCCGCTTTCTTATTGTCCGTGTCAAATTTCTTGGTGCCAGCAGAGAGCAGGGTGTCAGGGAGCCTTTGAGTGTTTGCCAAACTTTGGAGGTAGGAGTGCGGGGGCTCAACATCGAAGCTCTGCCTCTCCACGTTTTCCGTCTTTCTTCCAGCACCGTGTTGTCCATTGCTTCTCTGGTCTGTTGGTACTCGAGCTTGGACTCTTCTGTGTTGTTGTTCTTCATTCTGCGGAAGGCTTGCTTGCAGGCTTTGTTCGCGTTAGTGCAGGATTTAGTCCATCACGCCTTAGTCGGTCTCTTCGTGCTCAGCGGGGTGTTCTTAGAAGCTGCAAGCTTCATGATGCGGATAAACTCGGCATTTTCTTTCTCTATCGAGTAGTCCGTGGTGTCGCTTTCGGCAAACAAGCGGTCGCAGCTTCTTTCGTAGCCTTCCCAGTCAGCCTTCTTGTAGTTCCACCTTCTAGCGGTCGGGGCTTCTTCTATCTTCCCCAGGTGTTCTGCAACCAGCAGGAGGTGGTCTGAGCCCACTGTTTCTGCCACCGTCCACCTGTAGTGCTGTTGTTTCACTGCACTGACCACTGTTATCTGGGGAGCTGTTCGCGTGTCTCCGGAGATCCTGGTTGCCTCGCCATTGTTTATGTAGGTCATTTCGTGGTCGATGAGCCCTGACGTACCTTCACCGTCCCAGGTTCCGTGCGCGTTCACGTCCGCACATATCACCGTGTCTTTGCCGTGGGGCCAGGCTTTCAGATGTAGCTCGCCGTCTGTGCTTCCGCCTCTTGCCGGTGGCCCGTGGACATTCCAAATAGAAGTTTCCTGTTTTCCTTGTTTGACCGTCACTCCGAGTGTCTCAAGTGCCGCTGTACTCGGAAGATTCAGCTTTTCGTTTTGTTCCACTGTTATTACCGGCCGCACGAGGATAGCTAGTCCAACTTGTGGCTGTTCAGTTGAGCCTCTGTGTATCACTCGTTCTCTCCTGAACACGGTGAAGTCGCCGCTCTTAGGTGTGTTGTCATCTTTCCTCAGTTTGGTTTCTTGCAGGATCACCACGTCGATCTTCTTGTCTTCAATTTCCTTGAGTAGAATCGAAGCTCTTTTTCTCCATCCACAGATATTGAGTTGGAGGATTTTCAGGTTATTCAATCCTCCCTTCTCCTTGCTTTTGCTGGTGCCACAGTGCCATCTCCATTTTGACCAGCTGATGATTTCCTTCACTGACATCCCGAGACAAATTCTGTGATTCCAGAGTTTACAATCAGCGCAGAAAATGCTGTAGTCTCTGTTGTTGTTGTTGTTGTTGTTGTTGTTGTTGTTTGTGGTTATGCCGAAGGGAGCTCATAAAGGCATCTCTTCGCCAGCATCGTAGTTCCGTGTGGATCTTGAGATAGGATGGCTATATAGCTGTAGGCAGATCTCAAGCGCGCAATCATCGTAGCGTCTTTGCGGCTAAGAATAGCTTCTTCGTGTCGTGATGTAGACAGGTTTGAATAGGTTGCAGCCGTCCGGGCATATTGAGGGGGGGGGAGGGTCTTTGAAGGATCGTTTAATTGTAGAAATCGCACGTTTCAGAGTGATTAGTTTGGATTCGTCTGTGAGATAACATGCTCCGTTGGCTGCTCTATCGGCCAGCTCATTACTTGGGATACCCATGTGGCCTGGAATCCATTGGATCTTGATCGGGCACCTGAGGAAGTCCAAAGTGAGCCTGAGATCAGACGTCTCAGGTCCGTCGCCTTCGAGAGCAGTGGCTAAGGGCTGGCTGTCTGTGCAGATCATGATGGCGGGGTCGCAGTTATAGTTTTCTATCCATTTCAGAGCTGCACCAAAAGCTTCACTTTCTTCCTCAAAGGACGAAGTGATAACCCTGTCTTTGATGCTGACGCTATGCAAGACTTCGGGTTCCGCAGGGCTCCCTCTCATGACTACAAACCCTGCACCTCAGTTCCTAGTACCTTCGGCTGCCGATCCATCCGTATAGATGACCAAATCAGCACCAGAGTTGCTGATGATGCTGATCGCTTCGTTTTTGGCGTGGTCACTGCTGTTCTTTCCTGCTAGGGTGGTGGAGACACTCCAAAGTCTGTCGTGGCCGTTCCAAGGTGGTTCCTTGATCTGTGGAAGTGGGCTCTTCTGCAGGTCGGCGGGGAGTTGCTCTTCAAGTATTTTGCTCTTCTCCCACCAGGTCTCTGCACAGTCTGTGGGAGGTGTTGCCTTCGAGAGCGATGCGCCAGGGGTGTTGTGGGGGAAGCCTGTACGCTTTCTCTCTCGAAGCCGCGACCAGTCGTTTCGAGGTGGTCGTGTAGCTCTGGACACCGGATTCGAGGCGGAGGGCTTCCAGGGGGCAGGAGGCTGTCTGTCCAGTAATGCGGCGTAAGGCTTGGTTCTGGGCTCGGTCAAGTCTCTCGAGCTGGGTGTTGGCCATACCCGGCTGCCAGGCAGGAGCCGCGTAGTCTAGCACGCTACGCTGCGTCGCCAGAAAGATCTTGCGAAGAGGTTTTTTCTTCCAGCCCCACTGTGACGTGCTAAGGCATGCGAGGATGCTGTTTCTTTTCTGGACCTTGGCTCCCACTTTATCGACGTGAGACTGGAATGAAAGGGTTCTGCTCATGTTTATCCCGAGGAGTTTCGGGGCTGGGTCAAACTTGAGAGGAAGGCCGTTCATGGTGACTCTTGGTATCCACTTCGCGTCTCCAGAGCCACTCGAGAAGAAAGTGACAACGCTCTTATCGCTCATGGTCATCTTCTTCTTTCTGCACCACTCTTCAATAGTTCTGACCGCTCTTTGGATGCTGTCGCACGCTTCTACCTTCTGATTGTTGCTGGCCCAGATGGTGAGGTCGTCTGCAAAAATGGAGTTTCTGACTTCGTCGGGGAGGTTGTCGGCAATGGTGTTGATATAAAACAGGAAAAGGAGGGGGGATGAAACTGCTCCTTGAGGCACGCCGTGGATGAGCCATTTCGTTCTGCTGAGGCTCCCGTTGAGAAGAACCTTGAACTGCCTGTTCCTCAGAAAAGCGTGGAACCAGCGCACAATCTTCAATGGAACTCCGCCGTCTACCAGGAACAGGAGCAGGTCTTCCTTCCACTCGCGGTCGTACGCTCTAGACAGATCGAGGAGCGCCATGACCGTCCTCTTCGGCTTGCGGTCTTGAAAACTGTCACTTATGTCTTGGGTCATTCTGAGAAGTCGGTCTTCACGGCTTCTGTTCTTCCTAAAGCCTGCTTGGGTATGAGAGAAGAGGCCACGGGCTTCAGCGAATTGGTATAGTCTATGCACTATCATACGTTCCAGGGTCTTGACCGTACAAGAGGTCAGACTGACAGGGCGGAAGGACTCGATATTGCTAGCAAGTTTCCCCATCTTGAGCAAAGGGATGATGGTGGCGTTCCTCCAGGGTTGTGGCACTTTCTGTTGTTGTAGACTGCCTTACCGCACTTTCCACCCGGCCACTTTGGCCCAGGATTGGTCTCGATGTCACCGGCTTTCAGTATTAACCGCCAGATGTTCAAGGACGCATCAGGCCGCTGGCTCGGCAAAAACCCGATCGCTTCTTCTTTGCACTCTCGATTTGTTGCAGAATTTGAATCTCATTTCTGAGAATGTACCTGCCGCCCCGGAAAGGCTCACCAATTGGCAGGGCTTATGTTTTGTCGGCTTTGTCGCCACATCACGGATTTTTCTTTTACTGTAAACCGTTTTTATTGTAGTTGCAAGTGTTGTTGGTCCAACGCCCTCCCCCTCGAGAAAATCCTAGATCCGCCCCCTGTAAAAATTTGTTAATTTTTGTAAATTTATTTGATCCGACCATATCACGAAGTGGAGACAAAATATGGCTCAGGTTGTGTGTTTTCTCAGACTAGTTTTAAGTTGTTCCAGACCTCAAAGAAGGCTTGTAGTGAGTCAAGAGTGGTAGCATATTTCAAAAATTCTATAGTTGAAAAATAGAATTTTTGAAATATTCTTAAAGAATTTTTGAAATATTGAGTTTTTGAAATATTCTTTTTGAAATATTTTTTGAATTTTTGAAATAGATAATTTTCTTAAAGAGCTCCTTATGTTAGTTACTGTTTATGTGTTCATAAATAAAATTTAAGATGAACGCAACTATCATAAATAGTCTAAAAAGGTCTTCAATAACGGTCAAATGTCTTTTTCATTTAGGCACGCTCAATAGCGGATCAAATCAAAGACCAGTTAAAAGGTACAATAGTATCCAAATCTCCAAACAATGACACAGTAGAAACTAAAACAGTGATGACAATCGGGTCTATAAAAGATACGTCAGATGTTGCAGTAGAAAACAAGTCGGCGATTAAACCAGATGTTGTCGAAGCTCCTAATTGTGATAAGCAGAAACAAGAGCAGACAGATGTGCTGCCAGTTGCTTTGAAAATTCTGGAATCGAAATGTATGAAAGAAAGAAGAAACTACTTAACCCTACCGAGTGGCGTGACAGTGTCGCTACAACGAGGAAACAGTTTAATGGAGAAGCTGGGAATCGAAATGCTGAAACCCACCCCGCTACCCCAAACCCAAATTAAGATGAAGAAAGGTCTCATGAATGAATTGATTCCCCCGGTGAAGTCACAAATTTCACTGACTACTTCAACCAATGAGTCTAAATTTGGTCCAAACATGTTATCTGCTGTTGACGCTGTCGTGAACAATACAATCTCGCAGAGTAAGGTTGTAGTCAAAACAGGCGATATAAGCCATCCTAATAATAAGCGAGTATTAGTTGAAAAGACTGCTTCACCATCTCCTGGGGTTTCTGGGAATCCGCAACCTCAAAGGCAAAATGATATGCCAGGAAAAGCAAAGCGTGCAAGAATAGGCAGTGTTTCGAACGTTGCAACGTCTAGACATCCTGTAAACAGCTCAATGGGAAAAGGAGTTTCAGCAGTTTCAGCGAAAAGTTTCAATCCTGGGTCGTCGTCTGCTATGGCGGGCTTGGTTTATTCGCCCAGTTCGAATGCCACTCAAGCGACAAGAGCAATGCCAGTTATCAGAACGGTCGCTGATCAAAGTGGTGTGAACAATATTCATACTGTGCATTCCATGGTGGATGTTCATAGGCGCTCGCCCGGAAGTCTACCTGTGATGGGCAGATCTGTTAGGCCAGTGGGTGATGCAAATTATCTGGCAGCTTCATATTGCAAGTATGGGCCGGCAGATGAAGACGAAGATGATGATTCGGAGCCTGAATTCGATACATCAAGTTAGTCATTTAAAGATGTATCTAAAGTTCGCTTGCATTTTTTATCTTGGAATTGTTCTTAACGTTTTTTTGGTGACTAGGATGCTGCCCTGCACAGAAAAATCATGAAATTTCCTCGCACAGAAATTTGAGTCTAATTTTTTGTCTTTTTACCCTTGCGATAAGCTAGGGTATTGCAATCGGGTACTAAATTTTCCCGTAAATAACTTTGTTCATAGGACGCATTTCATATACTCGACTCTTTCATCTTCTGACATGCTCAATTTCTTGAAAGTTCAAATAAAACTTCTGTTATTTAAGTAGTCATTAGGTAAAACCCGTTTCAGTTTGTAAGTTTTTTAAAAAAAAATTTCGGGCTCGTGGTTTTCGTCCTAGTTTCTGTCGGTGCATTTTCCGTTTTTTAAAACTCCATATATTTTTATCTGATAGGGTTTTATTGGCTTACTTTCTAGAGCATGTGTTTTGTTCCAATTTAAATAGTTCAGTATAATTGGAAGTTCAGTAATTTGTAAACTTACCATGCCTGATTTTGAGTTTTTCTTTTTTTCTTTCGTTTCTTTTTGAAATATTGGAACAGTATCAGTTTATGTTGTATCGATTCAGTTAACTTATGTTACATAATTTCGAGGGTAAATATATTGGCATGCGATTATGTGTTTCGGATTGGTTGGGTCGTAAAATTTAAGATTTTTTTATGACAATAGTAGTAGTAGTAGAGGCTTTAGGGCTCATTGGCCCAGGGGTGTCAACCCTTCAGTTTTCAGCTGGCATGAGTTTTTGGTAGGGGTTACACGATCCACAGGAACACAGTACACGCCAGGTGCATGTGTCTAGCTGATTGTAACTGTTTTCAAAGTAGTTGAAGTAACTTTCTCTCAGTTGTTTTTTCGTCGGGTTGTCGCGAAACTGTTTGTGGAGTATATTGAAAAGTTTCGGGGCTCTCGTCCAGAAATTTTTGTCTGTTTTGCTGATGCGGTTTTTGTTGAGCTCGAATTCGCTGCATTGTCTCGTGGTGCTTTCTCTCAGTGATATTGGAATTGAATCTTCACTGACGCTGTATTTACCGTCCATGACCGATTGAAGAAACAGTATATCATGGAGTTCGATGTACATTGAGAGTGGTAAGATCTTCAGGGTACGTAGTCTCTCTTTGTATCCGATGGAGTAGTTAAGTATCCATGTAGTAGCTTTTTGTTGAACTCTTTCGATTTCCCGCATTTCAATTTTTGATGGGTACCATACCTGCGATGCATAGGAAATGACAGGGACGACGTAACCTACATAGGCGTTCAATTTTGTTTCGAGATTTGCATAGCATGAGATGTTTCGTTTGAGGTTGAAGAAGGCTCGCCATGCTTTACCGGTCCTACGTTTAATGTTTTCGTTCCACGAGATGTTTTTAGTCATTATCACTCCTAGGTCTTTCTGGGAGTTGACAGTGCCTAGTTTCACGCCTTTTGAACTCACAGGCTCTGTATTTCCTTTAATGCGTAGTGCCTTACTTTTTCCCATATTTAGTACCATTTGGTTTTTGAGACTCCACTTTTCAATTTCCGTTCCGAGGACAATTGCTTCTTCGTAGTTCTTTGCAATTACTTTAAAGTCGTCGGCGTAGCCAAAAGAAGTGCTCGGTTTGACTGATTCTGGAAGATCGTTAACGTATATCAGGAACATGAGCGGACCTAGTATTGAACCCTGTGGTACTCCACTTGTTACTGGCGTGACTGGAGATTTGCTTCTATCAATTTTAACACATTGTTTTCGTGCTGTTAGGTAGCTGGCTAGTAGTTCAAGGATTTTCCCGCCAATTCCCATTTCTGCAATTTTGGATATCAGTGGTTGATGTGGGACCTTGTCAAAGGCTTTACTGAAGTCTACGTATAGGACCCATAGTTCAGCGTTTTCTTTGATGTCGTTTTCCAGATAAATTTCGTTCAGAAACAACAGAAGTTGTATGATCGCTGATCAGTTTTTTCTGAAACCGAACTGTGCTGGGTGTAGTTTAGTTTCGATTGTTGGATATAATCGGTCGAAGAGTATTTTTTCAAATACCTTTGATACATTTGCCAAAAGACTGATGGGTCTGTATTGCGATATGTCTGCCTTGTTGTTTTCTTTAAAGACTGGTGTTATTTCACTGGTTTTCCATCGGCGTGGAAATGATCCTTTATTAATGCAGGTTTGAAAAATGAGCTTTAGAGATTTTGCTAGTGATGTCGCGTGTTTCAGGATAATGTTTCCAATGTTGTCCGGACCGCATGCTTTTTTTGTTTTCAGTGATTGGAGGCATCTGGTTATTTCTTCCTCGGATAGTTTCAGGTGGTTTGTTTCTGATTCTATGTAAGTTTGTTTGCCGGTTAGTTCACCTTGTTTGCTGAAAACTTGGGTGAAAAATTTGTTAAACAGAGAACATTTTTTTTCATTATTTACTGCTGTTTCAGTTGTGTCCGGTGATTGATTAAGGAACATTTCGTCTGGTAGGGGATGCTTTTTGTGTATCGATTTCAAGTATTTCTGAAGATCAGACATGCGGCGGCTCTTGAATACTTTAGCTTCGAATATGGCTTGATCCATTTTGATTTCTTCGTTCAGGCTTTTTTCAGCTTTTTTCATTTTCATGAGTAGCGAGAGTGAGTTTGCTTTTGCGTATTTACGCTTCATTGTCGCGACTATCTTCATTTGATGTGAGGTGGATGATCTAATCCAGGGTGGAATTACTGCCCTGTGTTTGGTGACTCGGGGTATTTTTTCGTCGATGATGTTCTCGAGCCATTTGTACCACTGTAACAGTAGGACGTCAATGTTGCTGTAGCAGTATGGTGTAAATGGCTGGCTGACAATTTGTTTGTTGAAATCATCCCAGTCGGTTTTCTGGTATGCGCGTTTAATAGCTGGGGTTGTTATTTTGCTCGAAGTTGGTAGGGACAAATAAGTTTTGTATGCGTGATGATCGGAACACTTTTTTCCGTTTGATGAGTATTGTGCTTCTAGTGCTGAGTCGATAGCCGAACTTAGCACAAGAGTCGGGTCAGTGGCAAGGAATACATCGAGGCTCCTGCCTTCGTGGCACGTAATTAGCTGATGTAGATCGTACTTTTCTAGAGTGTCCAGTTTGTTGGCTTCGTATTCGTCGTTTGAGTTTAGGCTGTCCCAGTTTGCTTCTGCAAGATTTATATCTCCGGTTAAGATGAGTTGCGATGAGTTATCACTAAACGAGTCATGAAGCTGTTTTAAGACGTCTTTTATGTTGTCGAGGGATGCTCTATACGGGCTGTTTTTGGAGGGGTTGTAGAAGCAGCAGATTACTATCTGCTTCTGACGAGATTTGATTTCGATGGCAGCACATTCTAGTTCGGTTTTGAGTTCTATTCTGCTATGAGTTAAACCTTTCACTGCAATGAGGACTCCGCCGTGCTTAGTGTTCCGACCCGTATTGGGTCGATCTGTTCTGTGTATTGTGTAGTTTGATAGAAAGAGGGCCTCGTCTGGTACTGCAGTTGTGAGCCATGTTTCAGTTAGACAGATGATGTCGTAGTCATTTGTAAGAACTGCATTTGCCAATGTCATGCGTCTACTAATGTCTAGCAGGCTCCTGACATTGAAATTTAGAATATTGAGCGAACTTTTAGTATGTAATCATTGTTCTGGTTCTGGCGGAACATTTTCCCAGTTGTCTAGATTCTTGTCGTCAGTTTCGTTTGTGTTTTGTTGAAGCTTGAGGTTTCTGATTCGTAGACGTTTTTTGTCGTATTCGTTTTCGATCATCTTTCGGCGTAGTTTCAAAGCATCGTTTTCAATTTTTTGGTCTTCAGGGGTTCCTTGCTCATATATACCTGTTTAGAGTAAGTTTTTAATTTGTATAGCGATAGCAGTATCAGCCGTCGATGGTGTTCGCTGGTTGTTTTGATTATGAGTGTTCTGTCTTTTATGCCATCGTAGTTTCCCAATCGCCTTACATCATCGATCGGACAGTCGATTTTTAGGAATTCCAGAATACTTTTAACTTCCTTCACGTCGTGTTCGTACTGTTCTCTTGGCCTTCGATTCTGCAATGCCTCGCACCCGTAATCCGTCGTAGTTTTCTTTTTTCTTCTGGGTTTTTGGTTCTGATGTTTTTGTTGTTCTGCTGGTGGTGAGTTCACTGTCAGGTCGTGGAGCCATCTCGGTTCTCAGGGAAGTTATCTGGTCCTTTATACCTTCGACGTTACTGATGTTACTTGTCAGGGATTGGAGCTGATTTTTGACTTCTTCAACGCTCTCCACTATTGGCTTTATGTCGTTGTTTTCTCTGGTGGATGCAAGTTTGTCCAGCATGCGGTCCCTATGGTTTAGGCGGACACACGCGTTTCAGATAAGTAGGAGGTTTTGGCTGACCTCACTTATCCCGAAGATTGCTCGTTCACTCATTTCGGTGCACTTAGGGGTCAAGTGCATTGAGTCTCCGCATGAGACACATAGAAACACGGCATCCCGTGCCGTTATGGGATTTGTGCATGTTTTGTAGCAGTTTTTCGGTTTTGATGGCGCCATTGTGGAATGTATTGGGGAAGTGGAATGTGTAGGAATAGAAAAGAGACCCTTATCTCCTGCGCTTCGTAAGAAACTTAATTCCTACGATGCACTAGGGGTAAAGGCCTTGTTTGCAAAACGTGAGCTCCTACTATCCCGCGCTTTCTAAGAAACTTAATTCCCAAGAATGCACTGAGATTGTTGGAACACAGGTTGGAATTGACAAACCGAAGTTGAAATTACCCGCACTTAAGAAAACTGAATTCCTATAGATGTACTGGGTTTAGTTCAACTCGGTTGGGTATATATCTACTTATGCTCTGACTTTCCCGCGCTTCCTAGGAAACTTAATTCCTATGGATGCACTGGGGCGGTTAGATTCACAAGTACTCAACAAGAATATAATTAAAGGCGAGGAGAGTCTTACTTATTTTTGGAGTCCAAGGGCGATAAGCTTCTTGAGCCTGTCCTTTTGTTTCTTGCTCAGCTTCTTATTGCTTTCTTTTGTGCTCTGGTCGCTTTCGATTCTTGATTTCTTGTTGTTCTTGTAGCTCAGTCTCTTCTTCCTGCTTTTCTTGAGTCCAGTAAGGTCTGATTTGTTTCGGATTATTGTATTAACGAGCCGCTTTTCAATGACAATGTCGGGATGGACTTTTGCGATTTCGTACTTAAGCTGGATATCCTTGCATTTTCTACTGGATATGAGATCTCTAATGGCGTCAATTACCAAGATTCCGCTGGAGTTGAGCTCTTCGTAAATATCGCGTGTACCTTCTCTGCGAGTGTAGACGATGGCCTCTATCTTGTGGGTGTTGTTTAGATGCCTAAGCTCTTCGACTAGTTGAGATGGGGTGAGGGGGTATAATTTGTTCGTTAATGGGTTGTAGTTACTTCGGTGTTTTGTCAGTGAGTTGTTTATTGTGTCATGCCAGATGACGAGATTTGATCGAAGTCGGAGCACACCCTGTCTTTTTACTAGATTTTGCACTATCTTCAGAGGATTCTTTGAATAAGGGTTCAATGAAAGCCCGGAGATGGCTGTGGATTGTCTTGCAAATCGTAAACGTTCTCTGTGCCCCAGTGATGACTTCCGATAATTCAGGGAGCTGGCCCCCACAAAATAAACCATTTTGCATCATTCATCTGAAACTATTTAATAAGTTTAATAATTTTGTATATAGTTTTGTTTATATAGTTTTGTTTTCGGCTCACACGTTTCGACCCAAAATTTGTTGCCGCTCAGTGATTGTTTTTCAATTCTTTTGCTCTTTTTCCTCCCGCCCACCTAACATAAACATCAATTTTATGGTGTAACGAGGAATTTTACATGGTTAAACATGAAGACCAAATATGTTTGTCATGGCCTAATTAGTTCGCATGCCAATTTTCGTAACAATCGGATATCGTGAACAAAATTTTATTAGTAAAATTTTGCAGGTGGAGGTAAAAGGAAAAAGAGCCAATTCTTTTTAAGACTGTTCGTGAACTTCGTTCTATACAAACATGAAGTTTTTTAGCTGTATATTTTTCAACTTGTCAAGTTATTTTTTCAAGTAGTTTTTTCACCTTCATTTTTCAATTTTTTTTGCATCGCACGTGTTGCGAAGCTCAGCTTCGCCTCTGTGCAATAGTTCTAGTATCTTTGCAATTTGATATCTGCATATATTTTAATTGAGAAAGATTTAAGATTATTTAATGTTTTCAGGATTCAACACGAACAATAATCCTTCAAGTGCAGTTCCTCTGAGTAGCAGATCATCTAAAGGTCAGCCAGTAAATCAGCAGAAGCCAATGGCAACAGCAACGGTTGTTAATAGTCAAGCAGCTCCTCAAACTCAACAAACGCCTTTGCATAATCAGCATCACACAGCGATGCCTGATCACTCTTACCCTCCAAATAGCAATTTGAGAGCTCAAAATGACCCTAGTTGGAGTGGCAATAAAGAACACCCTATGCAGATTCCTCATAATAGTACCCCAGTTACATCGACTAACTTTGATTTGACTTCAACCTTGGTTCACCCCACTATGTTGCACACTTTGCACCCGCGATCTGCAGGAAGTGTAGGCTTAGTGCGAGGTGGGCTTGGTCAAAATGAGCTACAAGAGGTCGCAGGTCGACAACTTGTCCTGTCCAAGTCTAATACCAACAGCCGTGTCATTCATCCGGTAAGTGGATATAACAAAAAAGTAGCTTGATGATTAAATATTTCGAATTTTTTTAGCTTCTTCGGCTCGATGATTAATTGTGGCACCTGATTTTGCGTGGAAAATAAAAAGTTGAAAAAGAAACTAAAACACCCGAATACAAAATTCTTCCCCATTTTAATGGTCGGAACAAAAACACACGTGCATGCCGGATTCAAAACTAGGTCATTAGCCGTCACAGGCGCAGTCATTGCCTCCAGACTGGGTTGAGTGATACATCGTATTTACACAAGCGAAGCATAGTGTATTATTAAAAAGATTTTTTTTCTGAACTAAGTCGCCAATAAAAGTGCTCGTTTGGTAGAATTTTCGGTGCATTTCAATTTAATCATGTTTAAGCTTAATTAAGGATAAATAATATAATGACATACGTTGCTGATTTTTTTTGGCTAATACTAGGCCCTGTTTCAAAAAAAAACCTTTAATGTGAAAATAAATGGGATTTCTTGTATTTCGCGACGCTTTGGATGGCAATTTGATAGAAGGTGTAGCTGCTTTATTGGTGGCTAGTTTTGGTAAAATAACAAGCGGTCGTGGAGTAGATGTGATAACGTGATACCCCTAGTCTCAACATTTTTTTCATGGTGTATTTCTAATCTTTTCCTTAATTTACGTTGTTTTGGCTGTTTAGCGCTCTTTTTTGCATTTTCCTCGCTTGTGTTTGCGAAGTGCAGCTTCGCCTCTGTATACAATCCTATTTATGCTTAATAATAGCCTTGAAAATTAGTTTTACTCTTGTAAATTTAGTTTTTGGAGTTTTTAGCACCATTCAAAAAGTTGTTCCGGTGTTGAGAAAAAGCAATAGCATTTTTTAGCTTATTTTAGGCCGTGAAGATTTAATTGTACGCAGTTTAACTGAGATTTTTGAGTTTTTTCAGCGCTATTTGGGAATTAAAGCTTCAAAAAATCTGCAAAAAAATGAGAAACTGTTCCAATTTTCTCAGTTCCAATTTTTGTTCTGACCGTTTTGTCATACCACGCAAAAAAACTACACTGATTTGAAAAAACGTTGCTCGTTTTTGTTAAAGACTATAGTTTTTTTGTTGTAGTTGCCTCGCCAAGAGGCAGCTCATAAAAGTGTTATAGGAAAAATGTGATATTTCATGGAAGATTCAAAGATTCCTATTTCTGAACAATTATCTGTCTTCTCAATTATTTCAGTAGAGAAACAAGGTTTTGGGCAAAGTCCATTTTTGGAAATTAACCATTTTTGTTTCGCATCAGTATAACAAACTCACAGTTTTCTCTAGTTGTCTTTTATCGAGATTTACGAATGTTTTGTTTCACCTAGTTTTTTTCCACATTTTTCATTTTTATTTCGATTTATTTCTTGTTCGTGTTGTATTGCAAGTGGTGCGAAGCTCTGCTTCGTCTCTGTGTTTTAAATTCAGTTAATTTTCTTTGTTAAAATGAAGGCAAATTTAACTATCGGACATCGAAAGTGTAAAGGACACGAAAAAAGTGGTCGACTTCTAATCTCGAAAGTGGAATTTGATTATCGACTTTCCTAGCGAAAGAAAATTTTTTCGTATTGATCCAGTTTTCTCAAAAAGGTTTTTTTAATGAAAAAAATGTCAATCAGGAATTGATTCGATGAGTAGTAGGTTAATCACTTTTTTGCTTTGCATTTTCAAAGTTAAGATTTTTCAAAAATAATTCCTTTTCTGTTTCCTTGCGTTCATTGACTCTTTTCCAACTAACTCTTGGCTATGTTTTTTTGGGATATTTTTGGGAAATAAGTTTTTCGCTTCAAGTTAAGTACGCAGATATCTCTCAAATTGTGTTTAAATGTCGAACTAAGCGAACATAATTATTTCCGATTGATTTTTGTTTTAACCATTTGAAAAATGGGGGGAAATTTGTTTTGCGGTGTGATTTAGTTTTTTTTGTTTTCCAAAAAAAATCAGGTAACACAAATTTTTATTGAAATGTGGTTGATATATCATATTGGTTTTTGGTCTTATTTCGAGCTAATATGGTCAGCGTGAATACTAACGATAGCTTGTGAAAGCTTAATTTAAGTCGTGAAATTTTAGTTTTACTCGAGCAAAGTTTGTTTTTGGAGTTTAGCGCCATTTTGAGAATCAAAATTTTTAAAAAAAAAATTTATTAATGCAAGCTTGCAGGCTTACAATAGCATATTTTTGCTTATTTTAGCCCGTGAAGTTTTAATTTTAATCAATTAAAATTGGTTTTTGGAGTAATTTTAGCGCCATTTGATAATTAAAAACTTCAAATATTCAAAAATTTTCTGGAAAAAAATTTGAAAAAAAGGTTTTTTTTTTATATACATATTTTTATAATTTTGCTTAGTAATTTTTTTTACAAAAGTTTTGTCCAATTTGTCAATTTTTTTATGACTATCGAGTAATCCTAAGTTACAGTTTTTCATTCAGGTCCTTTTATTACACCACGCAGAAAAAACGACACTAATATGAAAAAATATATTTTTCTTTGTGTTTTTCAGACCATGGTCGGGGCATTCTGTTCTAGTTGCACAGAAACCGGCTATCCTGGTTTATTTTTGCCTTTTTCAGGAAAAATCTTGTTTCATTTTGTTTCATTTGTTGTCTGTTTTTTTTAATATACAAATTCAATTGCTATATTGAAGATAGCGTTCTCTTAGTAAAAAAAAATTGCATTTCGGCTTCGAAAATTCGGTCTCAAAAGAATTCGGTTGATCGAAATTCGGTTACAAACGACTACTCTTCTTTCCATATTTTAAAAAATGGTTTAATGTTTTCCAAAAAAGATTGTCAATCAAAGAAGATTATTGAAATTCAAATAGCTTAAAGGTGGCTTATTTTTTCTTTGAAACTTTTGAATCTGTCGTTTTCTGTCTTCAAGCAATGTTGTACTTGAGCGGTTTTAACTGGTTAGGGTGAGAAGCTAAGGGGTACCCGAGTAGACGTGTTTTGAGGAAATTTTTAAGAAGATCATTGAAATTCGAAAAGCTTAAAGGTGGCACGTTTTTTCTTTGAAACAAGGTCTTTTACTGTCGTCAAATAGCAATAGGGTTCCGACCACAATTCGTTTTTGTTCGTGATGAGAGTTAAAGGCGTTTTCGTTAGTGATAGTGTATTCGTCATATTTCACAACAGTTTTCTTGAAAAGTTCTTCAAACTAATAAATAAAGGCGCTAAAAAATTAATTTTTTTTAGCGGATTGAAACCAAATTTCGCGGCTTAATTGAAAAGTTGTGCACCATTTATAAACTTTCTCACTCGCTTTAATTTGCTTGAAATGTTGACTTAAAACTTGATATTTTCAAACCGATTTTTCTCAACGCAGAAAACTTTTTGGAAAGTTATACCTGTTGCTTGAATCACGACTGAAAGGGCTTTATGTCACTCGACTCATTGCAGTGATTGTTTGTGGTAATTAATTTTGCGTGGAATAAAACTAAAACATTTCCGAAGACAAAGTTTTTCACTACCTTACAGTGGTCCGAACAAAACGTAGAAAACGCTAGACAGTACTTGCCCCCTTTTTGTCCAAAATTTTGCGTTACAGATAATTAAATTCTGAAACGAATCAATTAAAAACAGCTACCTCCATGCTTAGAAACCTATTCGCGCTATGGCCTAACTTGAAATTTCAAAGTTTCATAGCTGAAATAGCTTGCTGAAAAAAAATTGAAAACTTGCTAACCATTTCAGTCTATGAAAAATTTTGAAATATTTCAATGTTTCAAAACTTGAATAGCTTGCACTAAAATTTTAAAAATCTTTTTGCAAAACGATTCCGCCTATAAATCAACTTGTAATATTTCAAAGTTTCATAACTTTTTGCGATCAGTTTTCTCTATGAAAATACTTTGAAGTTTTCATTACTTGAATGAACATGAACTTTTTAACAACGAATTTTCTCTATGCAAATACGTTCAAAATTTCAAATTTTTATTGCTCGAATGATTTGTGTTGGAATTTTTAATTTTTCAAAAGGATACGATCTAATAAACAACAAAATGTTTCAAAGTTTCAGTTTCCTAGCTTGAATAGCTTGCTGGAGAGAAACTTTTCGGCAAACTGACTCGGTCTGTGGAAGAACTCGAGATATTTCAGAGTCGCATCAGTTGAATGGCTGCAATTGAAAAATTAAAAGTTTTCGCCATCCGGTTTTCTTCATAGAATATCTTAAATTTCAAAGTTTCATAGCTGAAATAGCTTGCTGAAAAAAAATTGAAAACTTGCTAACCATTTCAGTCTATGAAAAATTTTGAAATATTTCAATGTTTCAAAACTTGAATAGCTTGCACTAAAATTTTAAAAATCTTTTTGCAAAACGATTCCGCCTATAAATCAACTTGAAATATTTCAAAGTTTCATAACTTTTTGCGACCAGTTTTCTCTATGAAAATACTTTGAAGTTTTCATTACTTGAATGAACATGAACTTTTTAACAACGAATCTTCTCTATGCAAATACGTTGAAAATTTCAAATTTTTATTGCTCGAATGATTTGTTGGAATTTTTAATTTTTCAAAAGGATACGATCTAATAAACAACAAAATGTTTCAAAGTTTCAGTTTCCTAGCTTGAATAGCTTGCTGGAGAAAAACTTTTCTGCAAACTGACTCGGTCTGTGGAAGAACTCGAGATAGTTCAGAGTCGCATCAGTTGAATGGCTGCAATTGAAAAATTAAAAGTTTTCGCCATCCGGTTTTCTTCATAGAATAACTTGAAATTTCAAAGTTTCATAGCTGAAATAGCTTGCTGAAAAAAAATTGAAAACTTGCTAACCATTTCAGTCTATGAAAAATTTTGAAATATTTCAATGTTTCAAAACTTGAATAGCTTGCACTAAAATTTTAAAAATCTTTTTGCAAAACGATTCCGCCTATAAATCAACTTGAAATATTTCAAAGTTTCATAACTTTTTGCGACCAGTTTTCTCTATGAAAATACTTTGAAGTTTTCATTACTTGAATGAACATGAACTTTTTAACAAGAAATTTTCTCTATGCAAATACGTTGAAAATTTCAAATTTTTATTGCTCGAATGATTTGTGTTGGAATTGTTAATTTTTCAAAAGGATACGATCTAATAAACAACAAAATGTTTCAAAGTTTCAGTTTCCTAGCTTGAATAGCTTGCTGGAGAAAAAACTTTTCGGCAAACTGACTCGGTCTGTGGAAGAACTCGTGATAGTTCAGAGTCGCATCAGTTGAATGGCTGCAATTGAAAAATTAAAAGTTTTCGCCATCCGGTTTTCTTCATAGAATTAGTTGAAATGTTTCTAAGTTTCATAGCTTGAATAAATAGCTTTGAAAAACTTCACTTCCTTGCGAATTGAGTCGGTCCATGAAATAACTTGAAACCTGCTACTAATTTTTATTGGTTAAATGGCACCAATTGAAAAACGAAAACTATTCGTCATCCGGTTCACTTCGTAAATTTTTCAGTTTCTTAGCTGTCCGATTTGCTTCATGAAATACCCTAAAATTTTTTCACTTTCATTGCTAAATACTTGCAAAAATCTCATAGCTTGAATAGTTCACTTAGGCTTTGAAAAGCCTTAAATTTTAGCTAACCGATTTGGTCTAGGAAATTTTTAAAACCGATTTACGATATGGCTTAACTTGAATAGCCTAATCAAAACAAGAAACAACTTTTTACCAGTCGATTGATCATCGGAGATCCGCATGCTACTTATAGGAAATTGGATTACGTCAACGTGTCTTTAAGTTTGTGTGAACGTTATACACTTGCGAAGCGAGTGTATTAGTACGAACCTTCAGTTTTTCCAACCTAAGTAGCAAAAGTGACTTCTAAGGCACTTTTACAGATTTTTCATAGCATGTGCGTTGACATTCGAATAGTATTAAGTTAAGACAGTTGATGCATTTTCAATTCATCAATTGAGCCGAAAAAAGTTTGTTTCAACCAACATAACAATAATGAAAACTCGATTTCAGAATTTTTCTGAATCATGGTATTGCAATTTTTTTGAAATGCATAAATTTATACATAATGGTGGTTTGTGGATACCTTCAATTTGTTATTTTCCAAATTATAACATGCAAAATTGAGTCTATTTGTATTTGGTGCCACTTTTGCTGAATGGCATTGGCAAGTTATTAGCATATTGTAGCTGCTTTATTCCTGACTAGTGTTTGTCGGTTATTAAGCTTGCGTGGCTGAGTGGATAGTACATGAGACTCGAAATCTCTTGATTGCTATAGGTCGCACATTCTTGCCGAGTTTTTGCTCATTCGAGGCTTGTTTCTGCTTTTTTTTATTTCACTTGATAGAGCTGCGTTTTGGTCGTGTTCTCGCAGCGCAGCTTCGTCTCTGTGTCAAAGCTTCCTAGGACGTTGACCAAATTAATGATATTTAGAACAATGCGCATGCACCTGGAAGCAGTAACAACCAGACTGAACAGACGCAGACTAGGGCCACTCAAAACTACTCGACCATACCTCAGTCCGCATTAAACGAAAAATACCCCTTTATCAGACCAATAAGTGCCAGTCAGTTGGCTCAATCTGGCCATTCCAATTTCGCGAACGCGAATCAGGGCCTGAGTTCGAATTCTCATCCAGGAGAACAACACTCTTTCGTATTGAACCAACCCAAAGTGGTCCAGAGGTCCCTAACTAAAAGTGCAAGTGGTACTGCGTCATACACTATCCGACAACAGCCCACTTCGCCCTCAGCTCAGGTCGGAGCTGATAGTAGTGTGCAGCAACATTCACTTCCTCTGAGCGCCGGTGTTACAGTCAATAAGGTGAGTTGAAATAACATGATCGAATCTATGAGACAAACTTTTTTTAAATGAGGGATATAACATGAGCAATTGTGAAGAGGATCGTGCTGAATCCCTACTCGTTACTTGAGGGTGAGGCAACATCTCGCAACCCAAGAAAATTAAGAAAAATATAACATTTACGTGAAAAATAGGTGCACACAGTTCTTTCCCTGTCGAAGTGTTTATTCGATCCAATATTCGGTTTATGTTATATTAAGTAAGTAATCTTGAAAAATTACAAACGTCACATTGATGTTTCTGTCAAAACTGTTCGTTTTTAGATCGATCGTCAGCTTATTGGTGGTAGTTCCCAAACTGCAGTACCAGTCCTTCCCTTGCAGAGAAAAGTGGGCCCTGTCACTAATGTCCCCAAAGCTATCATCCAACCGACCACTAATCAAGGTCAGCCGCTGATGCGCAACCTGGATGCACGTCAAGCTGTACTCCCGAAAGCAGTGATCCAACCGAACGCGTGTCACACATCAGGTGATCAAAATGTATATCGAGTCATGGGACCGAGAGATCCAGGTACCGCAAATGTCTCCAGGGCGAGAACAGTTGTGACTACGAGGCCTTTCAGTTCCAACCCAAGCCATCAAAGTGCGTCTACACCAGTATCCCATTACTATGTCCAGACCAATTCATCCAGCCAGCTGAACCCCAACAGTCACCAAGAAATGAATCAAGGCGTCCCGTCTGGAGGTTTGAGTACAATTAACCCAGTGGCGTTGCAACAATTAAGCGTGAACTCTTCTGCTTCGGCTCACAGGCAACCAACGAGTTCTGAGAATACCCGAATTACCCTTGTGAATGTGGCACCCAATAGCGGGATGATCACCAGTTCGTCCCAGATTACAGCAAAAGAGCTAAACAAAAACTTGATTTCACAACAAAATCAGATGCAAATGCGTGAACAACAAGCTGTGTCAAACGGAAGTAGTTCAAATGCTACGCCAGTGAGCTCAGCGAATCCTTTGAGTAGTAGTGCCATAAATCATTTCAACAATATGAATCAGCCATTCATAATTGTGCCTACAAGCACTCCCAGATCTCTTTCCGATACGACGAGAACTTCATCGTCCTAAAGACTTCAGTTAAATTTTTCTTCGGTTTTATTCAGACAGACATTCATGGCGCGATAGAGTTTTTTCGTAGATGTTTTTAGGGACTGAATTTGAAAAACACCCGTGAAAAGAACTATCTTTTAAAGTTTACCTCAAGTTTCTTCCAAGGATTTCCTTGACGGCTGCGTCGAGTTTGACTGTTTGAATTGTGCCATCGTTTCTTTAAAATATCTCTGTAAAATTGAAATTGATTTTAAATTTTAGCCGCGTTCCATAATTCGTTGCACAATATTTAGTGTCGTTGCCGTTTCTCTGCAATTAGTTTTTATACTTAATTAGAATTCATTTATTCTTTGTAAACTTTACATAACGTTTTACTATTAAGAGAGGATGCACGATCTATAATAGGGCAAGCGATAGTATTGATGACGATGAGTTATCTTTTCAGATTTGATGGTGTGACTGTCGGTCATACTATTTGAAGAACGATTTGAGAATCAGTTCCAGAAGAAATAGTTAGCCACCTACAGTACCTTATTTCGATCTGGAACATTCCAATTCGTAACCATCATTGACTAAAGTCCTTAAAATGGCCACTTACGGAACTGTCGCAGTTTGCGCTTTTGGCGTGTTTTTCTTTTATTTTTACTACGGAATTCTCCAAGAGAAACTGTTCAGAAGCGAATACGGACCTGAAAACAATAAACAGAAGTTCCAATTTGTAACTACCGCCTTATTCCTCCAGTGCCTAAGTAGTTGTGTCGTGGCTTTGTCGGCTTTGATCTTCCAGAAAGTTCCGTATGACGATATTTACCGAGAAGGGCAGTTTCCATTACTATCAGCAGCATATCTAGGAGCAATGCTTTGCTCTAATTGGGCATTGAAGTATGTAAACTACCCGACGCAGGTCATCGGCAAGTCGTGCAAACCGATTCCGATTATGATTTTGGGAGTATTTTTTGCGAAAAAGCGCTACTCTATCCAGAAGTATTTCTTCGTGGCCTTGATTGTAATTGGGGTGGCAGTGTTTTCTTTCAAGGAATCGAAAGCCAAACCGGGAGACATAGCTAGTGGATTTTCATTCGGAATGGGCGAAGCGTTGCTGCTCTTTTCACTAC